CATGTGGATCTTTACTTCCCAACCAGGGATCAAACTACATCCCCTGCGTTGGAAGGTGGATTCTTAACCACTGGAGCACCAGGGAAATCCCCTACCCGTCCTTTCAAGGCCAGGTCAAGCACCTGCCTCACTGCTTCTTTCCAGATTCCCCAGTGGAGCTACTGTTTGCCTCTCCAGTTGCTTTATCACTGCCCCTGCATTACTGATGCAGTTCTGGCATTTTCAAATGCCACAGCCTGTGGTGTCTGAAGACAGGTTGAGCAGCTGCCTCCACTGTTAACATATCTTTTTCTCCTATTCAGATCTATGCCCTCAACAGAGTCATGACCGAACTGGAGCAGCAGCAGTTTGATGAATTCTGTAAACAGATGCAGCCTCCTGGAGAGTGAACCACCCCTGCGTTCACACTAGATGGGACCCTGGAAGCTTTGTTTATGAGCCTGTTACCAGTTTAAAGCTGAGATGGCCCATTTGGAGCCTTACACAACTAGACAAAAAGAGATTTGCGTTATTCCTGAAACTGGATAAATCGGAACTTCCTGTATGTAACTTGCTTCACTAGTTCCTCCAATCGGAATTGGCCCATTGCTTGCTGAAGAGACTTCTTCTATTCTTCCAAGAAAATACATTCTTTTTTTTTTTTTAACTTTTTCTATTGTTTGAAAAAAAAAATCAGTGTTTCTTCTGAAACTGTAAACCTTCTCCAAAAATACAAATAAAATACTAATAAAATGTTTGTTTGCTTATACTTTAGGGTGCCTAGTCATAAGAAAGTGGAGTCAAAAAGAATGTAATAGGTAGGAAAAGTTGACGTGAGCAGAGGGGAGCCTTTTTCCTTCAAGAAGGGAACAGAGGTGAGAGGACAGAAAGAACATGACTGTTTCCAGATTTCATTCTTCCTGAGGCTAAAGCTCTGCAGACCCTACAGATCCTAAGTTTTTAGCTATACAGGTGTAAATATGTGACTTTTACTCCCAGATGAGCCACTACTCAGAGCCCTGAAGCTAAGATTCCTGTCACCCTATGAATCTGGAGAGCTAGCAGCAGACTTATACCAACAGGGGGAGGAGGGGAACGAAGTGCTTTTGGTTTTTCATTTTGTATTTTATTGGGCCTAGAAGCAGAATATGCATGGAAATGAGGCTGATTACTCAGAGGGTACAACAGCCAACATTGCCTCCTCTGTTACTCTCTGCGCTAAAAATTTACCTTTATTTTCCCTAGTGGTTCTGAGAACATCTCTAGCAATTCCCACCTCCTCTTTGTCTCCCCACCGCTCTGAAGTCACTGAGAGTTCTGTTCCCATTCCTATGCTTATTTTGGCAATAAATCGTGATGTTAAGGAACTTGTCCCTACGGAGAATGTGTTCAGAGAGCCTAAGTCGTAGTTAAGGATAACCTTTACACAGATTATCCCCATAAGTAGTAATTAGGTTCTATAGTGTCCTATTGAATTTGAATTGAATGCAAATTTTTCAGTTTTATGTTTTGGAGGAATGGGGGTTTGGAGTAAGCTGTCATCATAAACATAAGGAAATGATGTAGTATACTAGAAAGAACAGTGTTTTGGGGTCAAGTATAGTTCTTATTACTTTGGATAAGTTATTAATCTCTCTAAGCCTCACTCTTCTCCCATCTGTGTAATGGAGTAATAATTTCTTCCTCTCAAGATCATTCATCAAGAAATAATGTATGTAATAACTACTCAGTAAATATTACTTCCCAGCTACCTTACTTAATGGGATATGTTTCAAATTTCAAATAACCAATTAATATATGAATGTTGGTTGGAAAGATTCTGATCCTTAGTTGGGAACTGCTTGTATTAACATGTCACAGCCCTGGATATAGTTTATCCTAGAGCAGTGTTCTAGTATTGCAAACTGTAGGTGGTTGTCAAATCAGTTTAATAAATTATGACTAGCTTATCTTTTTAATTAAACAATAGGGGCCTACCTGGTGGTTCTGTGGTTAAAAATCCACCTTGCAATGCAGGGGATGCTGGTAGATTCCACATGCTGCAACTAAACATTGGCATGCCAAAACTAAGACCCAGTGCAGCCAAATAATTTTTTTTTTTTAAAAAGCTTTTAAAGAACAGATTTTAAAAATTAATGTGGTGAAGATATTGTTTCATGAAACTTGTTTCAGCTTTCAGTTTTTTACCATCAAGTATAATGTTAGCTGTGTGTGTGCACATATGGACTTGAATATGTAGAGGTACATTCCTTCTATACCCACTTTATTGAGAGTTTATCATAAATCAGTGTTGAATTTTGTCAAACACTTTTTCTGCATCTAGTGAGATGATTATATGATTTTTATCCAGTCATTTTGTTAATGTGGTATAGCACATTGGTTTGTGCATCCTAGAATCCCTTAATCCTTAATAATCCACTTAATCCTTTTAATATATTGTATATTTGGTTTGCCAATATTTTGTTGAGGATTTTTGTGTCTATATTCAGTAGTGATACTTGTTTGTAATTTTCCTTTTTTGAGTGTTTTCTCTGTTTGCTTTTAGTGTAGGGTGTTGTGGGCCTTATAAAATAGGAAGTATCCCTTCCTCTTCAGTTATTTGGAGTAGTTTGAGAAGGATATTAAGTCTTCTTTGAATGTTTGGTAGAATTCACCTAGGCCCCACCAGGGCCAGGCCCTGGACTTTTATTTTGGGGGAAGTTTTTGATTACTGTTTCAGTCTCTACTAGTGATTGATCTATTAGGATTTTCTATTTCTTCATGATTCACTCTTGGAAGACCTTCCTTCTAGGTTGTCCAATTTGTTGATTTATAGCTGATCTAATCTTTTGTATTTCTGTCATATCCATTGTTATTTCTCCTCTCATTGCTGAGTTTATTGGTACCTCCTCTTTTTTTTTTTCTTAGTGAGTCTAACAGTTTTTCAGCTCTCAACTGATCTATAACTATCCTCATATCGCTAACCTAAATTTTTGTTTGAGGTGACGTAGTATGGTTATTATTGTTATAAACAAAGTACAATGTGTATTTTCCCTTTCAAAGCATTCCTCTGGGAGTCTACATATTTATTTCAGCTCTGCTGCTATGGCTCAGAATGGATATGGAAATCCTCTTTCAGAATTGCATTTTCTTCCTTTGAACATAGTTCAAGTTCTAGAAATAGCCAGAAGTCATTTGAGGCCAAAATCAACAGCTAATTTGGTTTTGGTTTAAAAAGAGGATATCATTGGCTAATATTAAATATTATTAGGTTTTTAGACTAATTTGGTTGGCTCCAAGCAAAATAAGTATTTTTTGAGCACCTATTATGTCTAGGCACTGTGCTAAGTGCTGTCCTCTAAGAACCTATGTGAAGACAGTTATCATTTTTGAGTTCCTAAAATATTTTGATGAGGATAGCAACAGTGAAATGAGGGTTCAGCATTAAAGGGCATCACACTGAAATGTCTGAGCCCATGTATATTTGTAAGATTCCTACTATATTATTCTAACATTGTATATAACTCACTAGAATGCACAACTAAATCAATTAATCTAGAAAGTATATGTTTCTGAGTGTGGGACACTGTGGCAGGCAGCAGAAACATGAAAATGTAAACTGAGGGAACTTAAAAATCTAAAACAGAGCTATTCATCTATCCATGAAAACAAAATGTAAGTGCTATAACAGATATGAACAGAAAGCCATGGAGAAAAGAGGGTGCTGTCTTTTCCTTTAGAGCCAAATCATAGCAATGTGGACTTTTTTCACTGGACTTTTTTCATTTAACTTTAGAGTTAATGCATACTTGCAATATATATTATTCTGCAAACTTCAAGAAGTTAGACCTGAGATAAAGGTGGTCTGGTGTGCTGGCTGAGGAAGGGGCTGTTGCTGCTACTGCTAAGTCGCTTCAGTCGTGTCCGACTGTGCAACCTCATAGACGGCAGCCCACCAGGCTCTCTCCCGTCCCTGGGATTCTCCAGGCAAGAACACTGGAGTGGGTTGCTATTTCCTTCTCCAAAGCATGAACGTGAAAAGTGAAAGTGAAGTTGCTCAGTCATGTCCGACTCTTTGTGACCCCATGGACCACAGCCTGCCAGGCTCCTCCGTCCGTGGGATTTTCCAGGCAAGAGTACTGGAGTGGGGTGCCATTGCCTTCGAGGGAGGGGCAGAATGAGCCAATGATCCTCTAGTACACCACCTGGAGGTGGAAAGTCCAGAGACAGTGCTGCGAGCGTGACTTTTAGTGGGCCTGAGTTCTCTATGACGTGCCACTTGAGGGTTCCATACAGTTCTCTTTATTTCTGTTCAATCTGGATTTTAGGATATGAAACGTCCTTTGAATATCTTGAATTTAGTATTTTTAGAGCTTAGGGAAAAGAAAACACATCATGAGATCCTGGAGGCCAGATGATGCCCTCAAGATGCCAATGTGTCTAATCTCTAAACAAAGCAAAAAGCATAAGTTTTAATTGTGAAAATAGAGAATATTAAGTTACAAAATCCTACACATAAATGGGGCAACAGAAAATGCCCTGCCATCAGCTCCGCTCTACACAGCCAGAGTCTATAAATGTAAGAAACCCGTTAGTAAGCCCCACCTTACCCCTGGAGTCATTACATTCAGGCAGGACAAGGCGGAAGCTACACCAGTTCTGAAGGGTTTCATTCATTTCCAAGGGACAAACCTTAGTGCACCAGGTCACACAGCTGGTAACAGAACTAGAGCTCAAACCCAGCCCAAGTTTAGCTTGGAAAAAAATCTGTTCTGTATGACACAAACTATTGTCACCAAGGGATTCAGAATCCTGAATAAAGAGGAAGAAGTACAGGCCACTCGCCTGACTGTGGGTTGCTCTGGTTCAAGGCCACATGTATCTAGCACTGCATAACAGAGACAAGGAAAGATTTAGTGAGGCTGAGGCAAGGTTTGGCCCACCATGCTGGCAGAAACCCCACAGAGGCCAGTGGGAGTGGGTAGGGCTATTTAATATCTTCAGTACTATGGCCGAGGACATGCTGCCTTGCCCCACAGGGCATCTGGAAAGAAGATGTAGGAGAGTGACCACGTCAGGCAGTAAAAAGCAGTTATCGAGAATGGACACAAAAACAGCATGATGACACCTAGAAGAGGGAAAAAGACAAACATTCAATTTTTATGAAGCTGTCTTGTGTGTATTTTCCACCCTCTAGTCCAATCCCCATCTTTTCAGCCTTCAGTTTTAACTCACACTAAAACCATTGACACAGGAGCCTTACCTTTATGAAGTTTGTGTAACTAGATAATTACAATCTAAGGCAATCTCTATTTCTTTGCATTGTTCACTTAAGAAGGCTTTCTTATCTCTCCTTGCTATTCTCTGGAATTCTGAAAGTGAAAGTGTTAATTGCTCAAAAATTCTGAAAGTGTTAATTGCTCTATTGTGTCTGACTTGTTACAACCCCATGAACTGTAGCCCGCCAGGCTCCTCTGTCCATGGAATTCTCCAGGCAAGAATAGTGCAGTGGGTAGGTTTTCCTTTCTCCAGGGGATCTTCCCTACCCAGGGATCAATCCCAGGTCCCCTGCATTGCAGGCAGATTCTTTACTATCTGAGCCACCAGGGAAGCTCTGACTATTGAATATTCATTGGAAGGACTGATGCTGAAGCTGAAGTTCCCATACTTGGCCACCTAATGCGAAGAGCAACTCATTGGAATAGATCCCGTGATGCTGGGAACGATTGAGGGCAGGAGGAGAAGGGGGAGACAGTGGATAAGATGGTTGGATAGAATCACCAGCTCAATGGACGGGTTTGAGCAAACTCCAGGAGTTAGCGAAGGACAGGGAAACCTGGCGTGCTACAGTCCATGGGGTCACAGAGTCAGACATGACTTAGCAATTGAACAACAACAATGCCATCTCAGATTCCATGTTGTGAAATTCAGATCAGAAATCAGTCTTAGCCAAGAATACATTTGAGTTGCCTGGATCTCTTGTTAGAAAAAGAAAAGGAAAAAAAAAATGTATATTCATACTGTTTCAAGTTTAACATGTGATAGGGGTCAATACAGTATTATACACATGTGGAAAAGAGGTAACATAGCAGGCTCAGGACTGCTATCCTTAGAAAATCCTGCTTGCAAGGTGGGCCAGGAGCCTAGAATCTTGAATAATAAAGTTTCCTACACTGATAAAAATTAATGAGAGCAACTGGTTATACAAGTGAGGTAGTTAATGCAGAACGTTGATTTCCTTCTATGGAAGTCTGGAATTTTCGTACATGCTAGGCAGAGGGGAGGGGCTTCCCTAGCGGCTAAGTGGTAGAGAATCCGCATGCCAACGCAGGAGACTCGGGTTCAATCCCTGGGTTGGCAAGATCCCCTGGAGAAGGAATGGCAACCCACTCCGGTATTCTTGCCTAGGAAATCCCACGGACAGAGACGCCTGGAGAGCTACAGTCTATGGGGTCACAAGAGATGCACACGACTGAGCAACTAAGCCACCACCAGGCAGAGAGGACCTGTGTGTCCAGCCCCTGTAAATGCCTTCAGCACTGAGTCTCTAAAGAGCCTCCTAGAGGACAGACCTTCACAAACAGTGTCACAATTCAGTGCTGGAGAATTGTGTCCTGCCTGACTCCACGGGGAGGGGATGCTTGGCAGCTTGCACCTGATTCCCTCCAGACTTGGTTCCTTTCAATTTCCCCTTGACTGATTTTGCTTTATCCTTTTGATATAACACATCTGAGCTATATGTGTGACTCTGCAGAATCCTGTGAGTCCTCCTAGAGAAGCACTGACCCAGGGGTGGTCTTGAGGGAGCACCCCCCCCACTCCACTCCCACAACACAATTTCAATCTCAGATTTACCACCAAAGGGCACCAACATCTGTGGAGAGCTACATTGCACTAGAGGCTTCCCAGGTGGCTCAGTGATAAAGAATCTGCCTGCCTATGCAGGAAACACATGTTCAATCCCTGGGTCAGGAAGATCCCCTGAAGGAGGAAATGGCAACCCACTCCAGCATTCTTGCCTTGGAAATCCCATGGACAGAGGAGCCCAGTGGGCTACAGTCCATAGTGTCACAAAGAATTGTACATAATAGAGCACAGGCACACACACTTTGCACTAGACAGTCTGCTAGGTAGGTTACAAAAAGTACTTTACGTGCATTTCAGAATTACCCTGTGATTTAGGATTAAGTCTGTTTTTCAGATAAGGAAACAGAGGGGATATAATTCGGACAAGGTCCTGATTCAATCCCTCGTCTGCCTGGATGTTAAAAACTAGACACAGACTGCTTCAGAAAGCTCAAATGGAGGGAGGGAGTGTATAGTCTATGGCATTTCCCTGGGAGGAGCCAGCATATATTCCTCAAGAGAAATCAGAACATGGGACCTGAAAAAGACCACTTCTAAGGATAAGAAGCAGTTACAGAAAGGTATTGGGACATTGGAATACTACATCCAGAGAACAGTCATTGGTCTGTTGAGTTACTGAGAGAGGGTTTTAAACCAAAGCCGTCCTGGGAACAGGCCTCAGTAGCCGTGCAGCAGCTCCTCAGATACAGAGCTCTGTGGGGAGAAGGGAACTTGGTCTAAAAAGGTGACTGGCTGCACTCCACTATCTACAGCAGGCATTTTGAAATCTATCCAGCAGGGCTTCAGCATCAACTGGGGTCAGGGTTGTGAGGTGCAGCCTCCCCTTTGCCCACACAGCACAGACAATCCAAGGAAGGCTGTCAAATGTGCCATCTATTTTGAGAAGAGGGGCTCGATGGTGTCTACAAAGAACACTGTGGGAAACACTGCTGCAATGAGATAAGAGAAGGGTGAGTGAAGGGAAGAAGGGGGCTAAGAAGTTTCCATTTACAGGACACATCTGTGCCAGAGGATTTATATACATTACCTCATTTAATCTCAAGAATCTTGCAAGGTAGGGATTATCAGCTTCGTCTTATAGAGGAAGAAAACTGCAGCAGGCTCAAATTCAGGCAACTAATATGTGCTGAAGTTAGAACTTGAACTCAGGTCTGTTTAGCTCCAAACCAGGTGTCTTCTCCCCTCATTGTGCCTCCGCCAACTGGGACACAGGAGGAGCCAGCACTTAGAACTTGGACAGGGCTGTGGGTGCTAATGCTACAGCAGAAAGGGTGTGAACTTAAAGGGGAGAGTCAGGATGGGACCCAGGACCCTTAAACCAAGTGAAAGTGTTAGTCACCCAGTCACGTCCGACTCTTTGTGTCCCCATGGACTGCAGCCTGCCAGGCTCTTCTGTCCATGGGGTTCTCCAGGCAAGAATACTGGAATGGTTGCCATGCCCTCCTCCAGACTCAAGGATTGAACCTGGGTCTCCTGTATTGCAGGCAGATTCTTTATCATCTGAGCCGCCACTTCAAACCAAGTGGACCCACATAGAAACTAAGCATAGATGTCATCCTGTTTACATGAGCGCATTTCAAAAGAAGAAAAATCGATGTTCCTTGAAGAAGACCATAAATCAGGGAAATCTTAGGGAGACATCTTCCAGGGCCCCAGTGTGACCAGGGCCTCAGGGCCTGGTACCCTTTACTCAATTGCTATAGCCCAGAACCTTCTTCCTAAATATCAGCTGTACAATATTTCCAACACTCATGTCACATCTCTTCATCTTTACCCCCACCATCACCTTTCATGTGACAAAAAGCTGGTTTCCCTACTTCCATTCTGAGTCTCCTACAATCTATTCTCTACATTACAGTCAAAGTGAACGTGTAAAACTGCTACTCAGAAATCCCTTCAGAGACTTCTCATTTGCCTCCAGGATCCAATCCCCAATCCTGCCCATCTGCTCACTGCACTGGCCTCAGTCTGTTGCCAGCCCTCTCTCAGCAAGTCCAGCCACACTGCTGCTCAGATGCATCTGGCTGCTCTAATGCGTCTGGCTGCTCCTTGCCTCAGAGCACTCACAAAGCTCTGTTTCATTTTCTGAACCACCCCTCCCACTACTTGGCAAAATCATCTTGTAGTTTCCATGTGTTTTTAATTTTTTCCAGTTTTATTGAGATAGCATTGACATATAACTTGGTATTAGTCCAAGGTATATCAACAACTTTGATATTTGTGTATATTGCAATGTGATAACCGTAATAAATTTAGTTAGTATCCATCACCTCACAAAGTTACAAATTTTTTTTCTTGTGATGAGAACTTTTAAGATCTACTATCTTAGCAACTTTCAAATAGACAATACAGTATTGTAGACACCATGATGTACATTACATGCACAGAACTTACTTATCTTGTAAGTGGAGTTTTTACCTTTTGACCAATTTCACCCAGGTTTCGTTCCCTCTAGGCAATCCCATCTAAACTAGGTCACCCTCTGATGCCCTCTGAGAACATGCTGTAGTGTCACAACACATCAAAACTATATATTTTTAGTTATTTCCGCCATGATTCATTTGGTGTCTGACTCCCCCATCGGAAGGAAGTATTTGTCTGGTTTACCAATTTCATTCTTAGTACCTGGTATATGGCAGGTGTTCCTAAATTCCTACTGAACTTAATAACATTTAACAAATATTTACCTGAGTATCTACTACTATCTACTGTTGTGACTGGCACAATCCTAAGTACTAGGGGTTATGGCACAAATAAAAAAAGAGTCCTCTATGGGTGGAGGGGGGCAGGTTTAGTATATATAGACAACAAACACATAAATACACTTCAGGGGATGATATCATAGGTTCTATGGAGAAAAATAGAGCAGGGTGAGAGAGAGAGGGAGTGTGGGGTGAGAAACAGGCTGGCAATGAGCAGCAATGATAATAAAGGATCACTAGTGACATTAAGAGCAATATATTTCACTTACCTCCCAGATAGACCATTTTTTTCCAGCTCTCAGACTCCAGGACTTCGTCATGTGGGTAGTAGCTCTGGTCCATCATGAACAGAATCATGAGTGAGGCCATGCAAGAGAGAATGAACGTGTTGCCTTTGGTCAGGAGGGAGGTGGAAGCCAAAACACAGGAAGCATAGGGACAGGGCAGACCCTTGTATGTGAAAGGAACGCCTGCAGAGAAAGAAGAGATGGGGTTAGCTGCTTCCCACTGCTCTAAAGCATCCACAGGAGGAAGCCCTTCTCTCTCTGGGTCTTCCCTACCCCGCATTCTAGATTCCCTTACTCTCAGGGCAGCGTCCAGCTGTAAAGAACTTAGTTATTCAGAGATGACATGTGGGTTTTGCACTGGATCCCCAAGGTAAAGCAGGTAGTTAGGACCAGGCCTGTGCCTTGGCCCCTAGGAAGCCTCTGTAGAAGAGGCCTTTGAGATTTTTCTGTCTGCCTCTGCAACCCCTTGCATTGTTATCTTAGGCAAGGCAATTACCCTCCCTGGAGTTCAGTTTCCTCATCTGTTTTGGGAAACTGGAGTATGACCTCTAGTTCTAGGGTCTGTGAAGCCATGTGCTCCATCCAAAGGTCACACAACAAGAAAAATGCACAGCTGGTTAAAAACCAAGGGTTCCCACCCCCTAGACCAGGGTTCAGCCAAGGCAACCTGTAACCTCCAGTGGGCCTGGAGCAGGAGAGAAGGAAGGAAGAGGGTCTCCATAAAAGGAAGGAGATGTGTCAGTTACTGCTCCCTGGGTTTCTGACATCCAACAGTTTCTCCCCTCCACAGTTTCCTACCCTCAGTCATAAGTCTGGTTTCCACTCACCGGCTGAATAAAAACAGAGGCGGAATGAAATAGCTAACACATAGATGATGGCCAGGAACCCATTCAGAGGTCCATCCACACCTAGAAGCAGGGCTGAGGCCAGGCCAAAGGTGGTGAAGACTGCAAAGTCATTCAGCTCGGTTCCTGCTCCAGAAGGCCAAAGTTAGAACTTGCACTCACATATCTTGTATCTTAGTCCCCTCTGGTGGGGGAAGCTGGAGTGGTGACAAGCAGGATCCTGCTGTCAGGTCCCTGGGGGGCCAGAAGGCAATGCCGCTTCCTGGGGTGGTCAGCTGATCAAAGACTAGGGTCTCCTTCTGGCTCTGCCTCAAACAGACCGTGTGGCCTTAGGCAAGTCTTTTCCTGTCTAGGTCTTAGTTTTCCTGTCCTTCAACATACAAGGGTTGGACCACAATTGGAAACAAATCAATGATATGGAACCCTTTTTTTTTTCAAGCAAAATCTTACTTGGAAATATTTTATTATATTTTAAGTGAGTTGCTCTGCTTGGGGTATTTTTCATTTCTCCACACCTCCATTACCACAGCCACCGCTCCCACTCCCAGATCCACCCTGAGAGGAAGACAGGGCAGATAAGCCAAGTGAAGGCCAGGAGAAGGACAGCCGGAGATCCACAAGTGAACCAGCAGAGTAGCTAGATCTAGGCTGCGGGGCTCACAAACTCCTGCTCTAGGGCTGCTTCTGCTACGCTCAGAGGGACTGAACAGCGGTGGTGACTGCCGCAAGCCTGCTGGATATTATAGGACAGGGGAGCTGACTGAGTGGGTGCTCCTGGGGTCAGGATGATGAATCTGAGGCCTGGACTCACCGGATCTGGAGCAGATGTTCAGGTGTCTGGTCGCTGACCCGATAGCCATGTCTAATAGAAAGCTGACCAAAACCATCCAGGAGGCACAGGAGGATTTCCTAAAGTGCAGGCCCGCAGGCCAAACAGGACAGCTCTCTCACGGTATCAAAGAGACTCCACCCCTACCCCCCACCCCCAACTAAACCAATATGCTTCCTATGCTAGCCAGCACACATATACACACTCCTACATGCTCCCTAACTCTCATCCTTTCTGATCTGTGCTGCCTTACACACCACACACACACACACACACACACACACACACAGACTTACATCCCCTTCATACTCATATTTTCAACCCACATTCTTAAAGGGCTGCCCTCTATAGGTAATCATTAAGAAATAAGGTCCCTTCCAATTCTAAACTCCAGGCATATTCGATGGCAAGGGAGATCCTAGGTCCTAACCCAGCCTCCACAACCATCTCACTGTGGCCTCTGTTCCTCCATCTGTAAAATGAAAGGTTTGTATCAAATGATTTCTTTAACAGATACAAGCCTATTTAGATTATCTATTTCTCCAATGTGAGTTTTGTATCTTCGAAGGAGTTGATTTGTTCCATCTTAGGCTATCAAGTCTGTGGACACAGAGTTGTTCACAATATTCCTTTATTATACTTTTAATGTCCATGTAATGATTCCTCATTTTTCATTTCTGATATTGGTAATTTGTATCTTCTCTTTTTCTTGGATAGCCTGACTAGAGGTTTATCAATTACATTGATCTTTACAAAGAACTAGATTTTGGTTTCATTGATTTTCTTTATTGACTTCTTGTTTTCCATTTCATTGATTTCTATTCTAATTTTTATTATTTCTTTCCTTCTGCTTACTATGGATTTAATTTGCTCTTTTATTCTAGTTTCCTAAGATGGAAACCTACGTAATTGACTTTAGATCCTCCTTCTTTTCAATTTTTTCAAAGACTTTATTTTTTAGGGAAATTTTAGGTTTACAACAAAATTGAGAGTAATGCAGAGATCCATTACCCTTGTTCTCACATATGCATAGCCTCTCCCATTATCAATATCATTCAACAGAATGATACATTCTGGCCTTAGTATATGCCAAAAGTGACCCTACACTGACACATTGCAATCACTCAAAGTCCATAATTTACCTTAGGGTTCATTCTTGGTATTACATTCTGTGGTTTTGGGCAAAAGTATAATGGCATATATCCATCCTTATAACATCATACAGAATATTTTCACTGTCCTAAAATTCCTCTGTGCTCTACCTATTTATGTCCTCCCTGACCCTCCTGACAACTACAATCTTTTTATTGTCTCCATATTTTTGGAGACATATTTCCTCCATATTTTCTTTTCCAGAATGTCATGCAGTAGAGGTCATATAATATGTAGCCTTTTTAGATTGGCCTCTTTCACTTGATTATATGCATTTAATGTTCCTCCACATCTTCTTAGGGCTTAATAGCTCATTTGTTTGATATTCCATTGTCTGGATGTATCACAATTTATTTATTCATTCCTCTACTGAAGGATACCTTTGTTACTTTCAAGATTTGGCACTTATGAGTAAAATATCATAATTGTCTAAGTACAGGTTTTGAACATAGTTTTCAATTCACTTGCTTGATTTTATGGTAGGAGTTGGACTTCCCTGGTGGCTCACATGGTAAAGAATCTGCCTGGAATGCAGAAGACCTGGATTCAGTCCCTGGGTCAGGAAGATCTCCTGAAAAAGGGAGTGGCTACCCACTCCAGTATTCTTGCCTGGAGAATTCTGTGGACAGAGGAGCCTGGCAGGCTACAGTCCATGCGGTTGCAACAAGTTGGACGTGACTGAGCAACTAACACTGACATGCTGACTCATGCTAGGAGTATGCTTAGTTTGTAAGAAGCCACCAAACTATCTTCCAAAGGGGCTGGACCATCTTGCATTCCCATCAGCGGTGAGCAAGTGCTCCTTTTGTTCCACATTTTCAGAAGCATTTGTTATTGTCAGTGTTCTGAATTCTAGTCATTTTAATAGGTGTGTAGTGATATCTCATTGTTATTTAATTTGCATTTCCATGATGACATTTGATGAGTATCTTTTCATATGCTAAAATGCCATCTGTATATCTTCTTTGGTGAGGTGTCTGTTAAATTCTTGGGCCGTTTTCAAATTGAATTATTTTTTTATTGATGAATTTTAAGCTTTGTATATTTTGGACCATAGTTCTTTATCAGATGTATCCTTTGTAAATATTTTCTCCCAGTCTGTGGCTTGTTTTCTAGTACTCTTGACATAGACTTTGGCAGAGCAGATTTCTTTTCTAATATATGCATACAATGTATAAATTTCCCCCTAAGTACTGCATTCACCGCATCTCATATATTTTGATAAGTTGTATTTTCACTTTCATTTAGTTCAAAATATTTTTTAATTTCTCTTGAGACTTTTTTGTCTATGTATTATTTAGAAATGAGTTGTTTAACCTCCATGTATTTTGAAATTTTCTAGTTATCTTTCTGTTATTTCTAGTTTAACTCCATATGGTCTGAGAGCATACTTCATATGACTTATATTCTTTCAAGTGTGTTAAAGTATGTCTTACAGACCAGAATGTAGTCTATCTGGGTGAGCTTGAGAATAACATATATTCTGCTATTGTTGGATCAAGTATTATATAAAATATCAATTAGATCCAGTGGGTCAAGGGTACTATTCAACTATATTCTTGTTGATTTTCTGCCTGCTAAATATCAAATTATGATAATAGATCCATAAAATTCTGCTTGTAGTTCTATCAGTCTTCATCTCATGTATTTTTTATACTCTAAATGATTTCCAAGATATCTTTCATACCCTACCTTCAAGGATTCCTTCTTTTTTGGCTGTGCTCGATGTCCATTGCAATGCACGGGCTTTCTCTAGTTGCAGTACTCAGTGGCATGCAGGCTCAGTAGTTGTGGGGAGCTGACTTCTCTAGTTGTGGCACATCAGCTTAGTTGCCCCATGGCATGGGGAATCTTAGTTCCCAGACCAGGGATCGAACCCACATCCCTTGCATTGGAAGGTGGTTTCTTAACCACTGGACCTCCAGGGAAATCCCACTTTCAAGGATTCTATGTTTCTTTCCAGCACATGCTCCCAGACCCCCTCTGAAAGCAGCTATAACAATCTCAGGCCAACTTGCCATAGGAGGCCACACCCAAGTTGACGCACTGACTGCAATGCTTGGGTGGCCCAGCAAAAGCAAACAGAGAGCCTGACCCTAGACCTCAGCTGTCCCTAAACAACCTTAGAATTTCCTTTGTTTAGACCCACATTTATGTGTCTAGAGGGGCTTCCCTGGTGGCTGAGCTGGTAAGGAATCCCCCTATAATGCGGGAGACCTGGGTTTGATTCCTGGTTTGGGAAGATCCCCTGGACAAGGAAAAGGCTACCCGCTCCAGTATTCAGGCCTGGAGAATTCCATGGACTATACAGTCCATGGGGTCGCAAAGAGCCAGACACAACTGAGCAACTTTCACTTCACTATGTGTCTATAGGGAATTGGGCCCACCATCATGGCCTTAAATACTACATTCCCAGGTTAGGTTGAATTAAGAAGATAGAGATTTTCTGCTGCAGGTATGTCCCAATTCATGAAACCCCCAAACCTAGATTTAGAGAAATTTCAAACTGGAAGGGAACTTAAACATCATTAGGTAAAACCATCTAATTTTATGGATGAGAAACAGATCCAGAGAAGTTACTTGCTAATGGCTATAAAGAATCAAACAGATTAAGAGGACATTGCTTATATTATAAAGGACTTGTTTGTGTATGTGTTATTTGCACTCAGTTGCTCAGTTGTGTCTGACTCTTTGTGACGCCCATTGACTATAGCCTGCCAGGCTCCTCTGTCCATGGGATTTTCCAGGCGAGAATACTGGAGTAGGTTGCCATTTCCTTTTCCAGGGAAATTTTCCTGACCCAAGGATCGAACCCACATTTCCTGCATCTCCTGCATTGGCAGGCGGATTCTTTACCACTGAGCCACCTAGGAAGCCGATAAAGAACGTTATCTTTTTTAAAATATTTATTTATTTATTTGACTGTGCCAGGTCTTAGTTGTGGCATGTGGGATCTTTATGTGGGATCTTCAGTTGCAGCATGTAGGATCTAGTTCCCTGACCAGGGATCGAACCCAGACCCCCTGCATTGGGAACTCGGAGTCTTAGCCACTGGACCACCAGGGAAGTCTCCATGAAGAGATTATCTTTAAAGATCTGATTTCACAAAGGCATTGAAATACAATTCAATTCATAGAAATACAATTTGCTTGCAATTTTGGGGGTGACCCATACTCATGTCTCAGACTTTCCAGAACAGGGTTAACTTTAACTATTCTGCCATGTGATATGCTCTAATTTAAGAATCAAAAAAATATTAATGGTAGCCTGCATACCCAAGGATTGTGCAAAGGCTACAGGAATGGAATCTTGATTTTCTCATAGAAACCATTCTAGATTGCCATATCTGGAAAGATCTATAGAGATTATAGTGCCTTGTTTTAAAGATGGAGAGGGACTTCCCTGGCAGTCCAGTGGTTAAGACTATGTGCTCCCAATGCAAGGGACATGGGCTTGATCCTTGGTTGGAGAACTAAGACCCTGAATGCTGCACAGAATGACCAAAAAAAAAAAAAAAAGATGGGAGAAACTGAGGCTCAAGATGTGACCTAGCCAAGGTCAGCTTCACCCCTTGACTCCTAACCCACTGCACTTTCTCCTGCCCCAAGTCAATCTGTATGCCTCAGTGCTTTGTTCTCTAGACAGACCCCTCCCTCCCTCATGCCATTGGCTCCAGCTCTTGGCAAAGAGCTTGCTGGGCCCCCAAACATACTTGCAGAAGCTGCAGAAGATGGAGAAGAGCCCCAGGATCATGTTGGCCAGGGACAAGGCATTGACAACATCCTTCCAGGTAAATTCATTCATCTGGGGATGGCTCTGCTCTTTGGTCAGGAAGAAACTGCTGCACTCACCTGGGGCCCAGGAGAGAGGGGCATGGGGTTGCCGAGGTCAAAGAGTCCCAAAAGAAGCTCCCAGGGACCAGGTGCCTCCTGTTCCCCTAGACCTCATCCCAGAACTGCACCCTCCCAACATCATTTCACTGGCTGGAATGAAGGAGACTACAGGTTGATGGAGGAGACCCAGGAGGTGAGACAAAGGTGCTGAAGATGAATGCCTGGGAAAGTTCAGTAGCAAAATGAGTGAACCATAGCTATGAATCATGAGCACAGCCTCCACCCGTCTCTGACTATATCTCTTGCCTTACAGCACAGACCTCTCTCCAGCCCATACAGTGACCCTCCTGGCACCCCCACGGCCCAGGGTCCAAGGGGTATGGGCCATTCCCCAATCTGAGAGATAAGCCCCTTGTCATAAAGACCTTTATCATAAATGAGCCTCCTTTATTTTTACATTACAAAGTAAGTAAGTGTTAAGTGTTAGTCGCTCAGTCGTGCCCGACTCTTTGCAACCCTATAGACTGCAGCCCATATTCCAGGCAAGGATACTGGAGTGGGTTGCCATTTCCTTCTCCAGGGGATCTTCCCAACCCAGGGATCGAACCTGGGTCTCCTACACTGCAGGCAGATTCTTTACCAACTGAACTACAAGGGAAGACAAAGCTACTTTTAATACTCTAGAGTGAGCCCACAGGAATCAAAACACTAGGAAGAGGTAACCCCCTCACCCCTAGGAGTGGCCCAGGAGGCGAGAGGCTACCTGATGGGAGGGAAGCACAAACGCCTGCTGCAGATTCAGGCTCCTTTGCCCCTCCAGCCACACTCCCTCCCTCAGAAGGAGAGGGTGTGGCATAGGTGCCTCAGGGTCCTAGTTCAGACAGTCCCCAGCAGCAGGCCCAGTACCAACAGCGGAAGGGATGAGAAACATAAAATGAAGACACACAGCACTGGATAGTTCACAGGACATTTTTACCATGTTCTCTCTCCTGATCCTGACAACCTGGGGAGATGCTGCTATAATTTTCCCCATTTCATGGTTGAGAAAACTGAGGTCCTGAGAAATGGACATACTTGCTCACAGTCACATATTAGGTGAGTAGAATCAATCCCACCTGTTTGATTCTAAATCTGGTGCTTCTTACTAGGGGCGTGATCTCAGCAGGAGGAGGTGGGGGTGATGAGGGAGCTCCAATGGCCAGCCCAGCGGGGCAGCTACAGCCTTTCCACGCAGAAGCAGCCCCTGCCAGTCCTCCTCTCTCCCCCAGTCTCCTTTGGCAGCAGGGATCAGCTGGCTCTGGCCATTTTCACAGTCCCACTGTGTCTGTGTTCACTCTGAGACCAAATACATGCACTCCTTACACATAAACTGCATTGTGGACCTTGCTTTTGGAGAAAGAGCCCCAGTGTTCTCTGAAACAGGGAGGCCCCACCAGTTGTAAACACACTACCCACATATAGAATCCTGCACTTGAGTAAAATATACAAGTTCCAAGGTGTTTCCATGTCCCCACTCATTTTCGAGGTGAGGAAGCAGAGACTCTGCTTCCATATAGCCCCTCTGTACAGCCCCAGGTGTTCTGGTCTGGGCAAGAGCTAAGACAAGTCATGGTCCTTTCCCATAAATACTGCCGCCAAAATGCAGAGGGTGAGAGGGGGCCGGACTTGGAGTTTAGAGCTAAGAGTTTATCAGGCAGCACAGCAGAGGTAACTGCTCCCATAGGCCAGCTTTATTCACCAAGGGGTATCAGTAGCTATAATGCCAAAGCCATTGGGACTTCTGAGTCCTTGTCACACCAGACTCCCTCAAGACATAAGACAGGAAGCAATGCTAGCCAGACAAATCTGGGATGGGAAGAGGAGCAAAGGACTATAGTTATGTTCCCTCCCTGTCAACCCTTCCCTCCTGGTCTGTCCTGAGTCTCAGGGCTGAGCTGGCAAGAACAAACACCTCTGTTTCAGTCTAGCCCACTGTTGCCTGGAAGAGCAGCATCCTAGCATCTCTGCCTCTCTGCAGAGATACCTGGGGTATGTCCAACAGTTACTAGACACACCTCATCTACACTGTTTCACAGTTTAATTAATGTTCAATTAATTGTCTACCAGATTAACTTGTTCATTCACAAAGCACGTTCATCTCTGTGGTTTCCAATGGCCCTGTGAGGTCTGCCAGATAAAGCAAAGAAGACTCAGAGAGGGGAAGAAACTTGTTCAAGGTCACACTGGAAGTGGCAGAACAAGACTTCCAACTTCACCTTAAGGGTTCTTTCCTGTGTACTCTGCGGTCTACCAACCAACAGGACTGATCGTTTTGTATTTGTTGTAAGCTCAGATTGAGCAAGGTGCTGAGGAAAGTCCTTGGTAGCTGCCTGGACCTTACCGTCTATTCAGGAAAAGAAGACTCATGCATGCATGTGGAGACTTACAGACTGTTCATGGTGATAACTCATCCTACAGGTGGGGAAACTGAGGTTTCAGGACAGTTGAACAATTTGTCCCATTTACTAGCAGAGCCAGGACTGGAATTGGGCCTCCTCTTTCCCAATTAAAAGCCATCTGCAGCATAATGCACAGGCTCCAGGTATGAAAGGATGTGGACCCAAGAGTAAGGGCTGTTGAAATTTAGAGGAAAAAAAGAACAATCCATTCATTCAGCAAACATTTGGTCTTGAGACAAAAAAATTAAAACCTGGTCTTGTCCCTCAAAAACCTGGTCTGGCAGAGGCTTCAACCCTGCACAGAAAGGAAGAGGTGACAAGGCTGCTAAGGGAGCATAGACGAGGGGTCCTGCCTGTCAAGGGGCTCAGAGAAGGCTCCTCAGAGGAGGGGTCAGAGCCGAGGCCTTGCCCAGCAGTGGCCGGCAGGACTAGCTTGTGTCGCTCCCCAGCTCCTTGGAGGTCATCAGTGGCTCCCAGCACCCTCAGGATGGAGCTCAGCTCCTTCATTTGGCATGCAAGTCCTTTCTGCATTGCCCCTTGGCCCTTCTCTGCCCGCTTCTGGTCTTGGGTTGGGTGGTGATCCTCTTTGGGAAGCCTGGCACGGCCTCAAGTCTTGAGGCGCTCCTCCTCTGCACTGCCACATGTCCTGTGCTCACCGTGTGACAGCTGGCACTCTGAGTTGACACCGCCCATGTGGTCTTCCTTCTCTAGAACAGGGAAAGGAACTTGAGTGCCGACCGAGGTCCCCGGTGCCCAGCATGAGGCCTGACAACAGAAGTTGTTCGGTGATTGTTAAACTGATGGAGCACACTCTGCTTGCCTGAGATCCTCTCCCTGTGCTCATTTGCTCAAAGCCTGTCCAGTCTGGCCCATGAACCGCCTTCTCAAACAAACAATCCAGCCTCGTCAACGCACCCAAGTATCTACCCGATGCTTATGATCTTCCATTTACTCATTTTTAAAAATGTGCTTGCTGATGCTTGCCCTGTGTCCAGCCTGCATGTTCTGGGCACACGGAGCATCCTCAGGAGGCTGGGAATCTGGGGGGGAGGCAGATGTGTGCAGGGACAGTGAAGGCGGTGTGACGAGTGTTGTTGGACAAAGGTTTGTCAGGTTGCTGAGTGTGTCCAGGGAAGACTAAGTCTGTGAGGGGGGCAGGGGAAGGCTCCACCAACATGACATTTAGGACTCTATAAGCATAAACAAAAGGGGTGGGCGGCAGCGGGGAGGGCGGGGTGGTGGCGAGGGCAGCTTTTTGGCAAAGGAAATTGCAAGAAGGAAAGCACAATGAGGAGGCTGGATGCCAGGGAGAGAGGGGCGCCTGGAGGCAGAGCCTGCAGGGAGGTCACCGTGTGATAGCTGGTATGATCTTGCATTGCCCCTGTGGCTTGGCAGTAATGTTTATTTAGTAAGAGGGTGTAGGAGGGTGTCTTGCTCAGATGTGGGTTGCGAGTGGAGGGTGGTCTCAAGGGGAGAGGCTGAAGAAAAGGAAATCAGCCATGAGACTGGTGAGAACGAAGTGAGCGAGCCGCAATGGCAGACACTGGGGCTGCTCCTGGAAGGAGTGGGGAGGGTTGCGATGTGACTCGGGGCTTTCTCGGGAAAGGCACGGGCGGTGCTGTGGATTCTGTACCCAGGAACCCGGCAACATTGGTGCCAGAACGCTCCGGGTGACACATCCCTGCGGGCAGGCGGTGAGCCACGGGCCCAGCCACTTGTGTGAGAAACGACCTGCCTCCCCGCGGCCGCCCCACTGCGCCCGCTACCCTTGAGGCCAGCAGTCCAACAGGGAACTGGCCTCCTCCTGACGCTGGTCCGTCCAAGCTGAAGACACCCGCGTGCTCCTTCTCGTCCCTCCCCCTCTGCTATTCCGCGCGCCCTGCGGGATGACAGCAACGGCGGCGAAGATGCCCAGGCTAAAAGATGGAAGAGACCAAGCCGGGGCTGGGCGCCAACACCTCGAGACAGCTTTCCCCACTCCCCCCGCCCCCGCCCCCGCCCCCACCGTGATCACTGACAGCGCCTGGAGGAGGCACGTGCTGCTGCTGCGGATGCTTACCTGGGGACCAGACATTCTTAGATGGGGTGGGGGCCCACACTCCTTCCCCTCCTCCTGTGCGGTGGAGGGGCCAGCCAAGGCCGGTGGGAGCTGCCGACCCAAGCCTCTCACCCCTGGCTCTTAGCTCACAATCCCCAGGAGGCAGGGGAGGGGCAACAGGGCTTTAGCTGGCAGGGAGAAGGGCCTCATTTTGCAGGGGAGCCCGAGGTCTTGAAGCGGCGGCACCGGGGGCGGGGTCTGAGAGGAGTGGACTAGTGTAACACGACGAATGTGGAAAGGCTCAGCAGGTGAAAAGACCAGCGTGTGCACGGTGCATGGGAGGTGGGCGGGGAGTTGGGGGGAGGCAGAGCTGTAAAGGGACGCTGGGGTCCAGCCTATGAAGGGCCCCTGCTCCTCGTGGACAGGGCTTCGGCTCTGCTGGGATCACTGCTGTATCTTTGAGCCTGTATGAATGCTAGGCACACAGTACCCTCCCACCCCCAGCCTCAGTATTTGTTGGATCAACGACAAGCTGAGTAATTTACCTCAGTCCTGAAAAATAGTACATTTTAAGGGAAATGACAAGGTGAAGTTCAGGTTTCTAAAAGGTCAATTTTATCAACTCCCTACCCCGAATCTCTCACAACCCCCAGCCAATACTCTTCACTTTAAACTAGCTCCAATTCCCCAAATGTTATATTACGTCTTGTCAATGTCCCTCACGTGCAATTTTTTTTGTCTAGAATTGTTTATCATCCTATTCATCTACCTATCTCCTAGCTGTTAGAAGTAAGAGTGTTCTGGTCAGGAGTCACTCTTCGTGACTGGCAGGACTATTTTGGTTGATGTGGCTTGTTAAATGGATATTTCTTTGTTCATTCACAATTCTATACAAAAATGAACCCTCCCCCTACCCTGAAAGACAGCCTTCCCATAGAGAGGACGGTTGGTACCTCCGGATAAGCTCTAAATCTTGTTTTTCAGTTCCCAAGCAGGTGTCAGCTCCTCCAAGTCTTCTTAAATTCTCTAAGCTGAGTTAGGTAGCTCTCCTCGGTGCTCCATGATATTCCACATGTACTTCCATCATAGCCCTTTTTATACTACGTTGTAATGGCTGACTTACTCTCCCCAGCTAGATTGTGAGCTTCCTGGAAATAGGGGCCTGTCTTACTCAGCTGTCATTCTCCAGAATCTGGAAGCTAGAAGGCACTTAATACTTAGTAATTAAGTATTATTTACTTATTTATGGGTAGGTGGATGGGTAAATGAAAAATGGTTACTCTATATAATCACTGGGTCTTAGTCCCTCTAGATGTTACCTCCAAAATCACTTCACAGTGCTCTTTTCTCTGAACTTGGTAACCGGCTTAACCAGGAAATCACAATGGCACCACCTAGTGGTCAATGTCGGGAGTAGAGTGAAGTAAGCCAGACCTTATCAACTGTGCAGCAGCAACAGTCCATAGGGCGGCAGAGTCAGACGCGACTGAAGCAACTTAGTGCACACACATACCCACACACCGGAATTACACACTATCGCTAGCCAAGCTAGGCTGTTTGTCATCCTCCAGTACCCAATACTCTGCTTCCTAGATGAATTTGAAGGTAGAGGTGCACAAACTATTAAATAGCCTCAACCCCAATCTTAAACACTTCTAGTTACAAAACTAAGTGTTTCTGGAAAAGGACTCGCCAGCCTTTTTTGCAGGAAGAAGAAAACTTTCCTTCTTTAATGCTCTAACTTATGAGAGAACAGATGGAGATAAAGGAGAAGCAAAGTACACTGGCTGGTCCTCTGAAACTGACCGGTTGGGTACATGTGACCCAGAGAGGATCCCAAAAGAGACTGATATGATTCTACCATCCCACCTAAAAGTAACAACAGCGTTTCCATCCACACAGGATCACCTTCAAAGAAGTTCATGATTCACCCACACGACTTCGTCTCTCTTGCTACCTCCCACCAAGGCAGAGGTTGGGGCAACAAGGAGGTGACAGGTCCATGTCCTAACAGCCTTTGTCAGAGTCCACTCTCAGTGGACCTGAACTCCTGGAAGCTGGGTTCAGTGCTTGGAGGCAGAGCCACTGGCTGGTTTAGCAACTTGTTCACGACACTGATTTTAGCATCCTGCTTCTCAATATCCTCATACGGAGTCCAGGACAGGTCGTGCTGGAGCTTGTAGGCACCAAGGAAGTCATGTGGACGATTCATCCCCCATTCCTAGAGAAGGCAAAGGAGTCAGTTCTGATCAGGGCAGGAGGTAAAGAAGTTGAGTCCATTTCCTAATTATACCACAATTTTATTTTTTGGCTTTTCACTTCAGACCAGTCAGAATCATCCTTGGAAAGCAATGCATTACACATCAGGTACCTCCTTGAAGAGGGATAATGATTGTGAAATAATTTAAGCGCATATATTTTTCAGAGTCATCTCTGGGCTCATGCCACCTCTAGTTTTCTAGAAAATCACTTACCAACCCCTATGCCTACGTTTTCTCACACATAACACATACACACAAACACACTACACCAAGAATTTCTTAAAGACGAGAGTAGGTTTTTGTAGCAACAATTAAATGTTCTTACCTCTGGAGAAATAATGGAAAAATACTGCTGACCACTCTCCCGTTTATAAAGGTAGTAAATGTTGCCAGGTTTTTTCACTATATTACAAGCTACATGGTGCAAGTCAGCATCTCTGCGAGCATCCTCCAACACCTAAAATCCACAGAGATGTAACCATTTAGGCATAAGAGATAACAGCACTCATACTCAATGATCACCCCATGCAAAAGCTGGAACCTGTTCAATGCTTAGGGTCTTGCTCCCTCACATCAATGAATCATGACTGAGATCCAGATGACACTGAAGAGAAAAATTAGACTACGTTATGCTACTATGTTATAAAAATGCCTTTGGAAAACTTGTATTTCAAAATGTAGAGTATTACTGGCTTTGGGTGGCTTTTAAATTTCTTCCCAATTTTTCAGTGGTAAGTACATTTCTTTTATAACTGAAAACAAATTTTTCCCCTTAAGATGCTTTACCTCACTGAGTTTTCTCCCAGTGAAAAACCTTATCCTTAACCTCTTGGGCTTATTCTATTTTGCTCAACACTTCTATATTTCTAGGAGGTACTGAAACAAGTAAGTTACAGTGATTATAAGCAAGTTCAGTCAATCCTGTGAACTAAATGAAAATGAAAGCTTACCAAAAAGCTACTACTTACCTTCCTGGCTTGTTCCTGCAAATGTTCGATTTGCTCAGCTATGACTGTCAGCTTGTTGGTGGCATTTGCTCTGATGAATTCATTAGCCTAAGGGAGAGAAAAAACCAAACTGTGAGTCAGAAAAGAGTAAGACTTTATGATGCTTTTATTTAGATCCCAATGTGAAATTATGTCAACATGTTGGCTTTTGCCTATCATACCCTTCCCATTTTCACCATTTCCCCATGAATACCTGCTCATCCCAAGGCCTAGCTCAGAAGGCACTGCCTAGAAGTCAATGCTGACACGACCCCATACCATGGAAATAAGTGCTCTTTTCCTATCTCCCAAAGCATCTGTCTTGTTCACTCTAGATTCTGGTCACACTCAAAATTTTCAGTCTTCCAATATGCCCCAATCTCTTTTGCTTCCAAGTAATTTTGCATATGCCCTCTCTTCCATCCATTTCCCCTCTTGCTCTTTTGCCTGACTAACCCCACTTATTCCTCAGTTCTCCATCTATTTTCTCACACTTAAACATTTCTGAAATCAGGGATGGGTCTTACGATGAAAATACGAAGACACTTGTGGTATGTCTCTTATGACCTGCGACATAGAAACCTGACTATATATAGAAGGTATCTGGGTTTTTTTTTAATTAATTAATTAATTTTAATTGGAGGTGAAATACTTTACAATATTGTAGTGGTTTTTGCCATACATTGACATGAATCAGCCATGGGTGTACATGTGTTCCCCATCCTGAACCCCCCTCCCACCTCCCTTCCCATTCCATCCCTCAGGGTCATCCCAGTGCACCAGCCCTGAGCACCCTGTCTCATGCATCAAACCTGGACTGGCGATCTGTTTCATATATGATAATATACATGTTTCAATGCTATTAGAAGGTATCTGTTAAACTGACCATCACACTTAATTATATTTAACTAATATTTGCATTCCTGTTACTTAAAATGTGTTTTTAAAAGACTGTAAGCTCAGTGGGTAAAGAATCTGCCTGAAAGGCAGGAGACCCAGATTCAATTCCTGGGTCAGAAAGATACCCTGGAGAAGGAAATGGCAACCCACTACAGTATTCTTGCCGGGAGAATCCCATGGACACAGGAGCCTAGCAGGCTACAGTCCATGGGGTCGCAAGGGTTGGACACAACTTAGCAAGTCAACCACCACCACTATGATGTAGATCTGGAACAATTATAACATACACAGAAGATTGTCATGTGCTAGGAAATTCAACTGAAGGCACTGGAAATCACTTTAAGAAAAAATAACTTTCAAAGCTAGGAGACACATATGTAACCAACATATGTACTGGGAAGGATTATCATTCACACATCAGAAATCTGTCAAAAAACTTACAGATTTCTTTTCACAAAAAGCTGATTAACTTTTTTTTTGGCTCTGTCCAACCAGAGATTGAATCAAGGCCCCAGCAATGAAAGCACAGAAGAAAGACTACCTCTAACGACTAAGCACAAACTCTGGCCCTAATCACTCTGAGGCCCTTTGCATATTATCTCATTTAATTCTCATAATACCTGATGAACTTGGAGATGATAACTTCACTTTCTCATTTTAGATTTAGACTCAGACAGGTGAAGTATCCTGTCCAAGGTTTCAAGGCTTCCCTGATGGCTCAGTGGTATAGAATCTGCACGCCAATGTAGGAGATGGAGGAGAGGCTCCCTGCGTTGGGAAGATGCCCTGGAGAAGGAAATGGCCACACATGACAGTATTCTTGTATTCTTGCCAGGATAATCTCATGGACAGAGGAGGCTGGCGGGCTACAGTCCAAAGGGTCACAGTCGGTCACAACTAAGTACACACACACATCCACAAATCTCAAAACAGATCAGTCTGATTCTAAATTTCATGCCTTAGGGTTCTTGTGCTTTC